TGATCCCCATTGTGCTGATTGCACATTCTTTTGTGCGGCCGCACATCCTAGGTTCTGCGGCAGCAATCCAAATTGTGCGGTCGCACTCTAGCAGCTCTACACTACCAGGTTTTGATAAATTGACCATAACTTTCTCTACAAATATCCAAATAATTAATCGTATACCTTTCTGGAAACTAGATTCAAAGGGCTACAACTTTTACTTTTGAATCATCTCTAAATTCGTTGTAGATTAAAGGGTATAAGTTTTCGAAGTCGGACTATCGAATCTGCAGAAATCTCAATTCTGCGGCCAATAGAGAAATTCTGCGGTCCGCACAATTCCTATGTGGTCCGCACTTTTTCTCTGCGGTTTGCACTTTTCCTCTGCCTCAACACTCCAAAATGTGTCCCTGTACTTCCATAGTTCCAGAACAACGTCAGAGTGCCGAAATGGCCAGTCTCGCTCAAAACTCACCCCGAAACATACCCGAGCCACTCGGGACCCCGTCCAAATGTACCAACAAGTCCTAAAACATTATACGAACTTAGTTGAGCCCTCAAATTACATCAAACAACATTAAAAACATAAAATCGCACTCCAATTCAAGCCTAATGAAAAATAAAAATTTCCAACTTCTACATTCAATGTCGAAACCTATCAAATCAAGTCCGATTGACCTCAAATTTTGCACACAAGTCATAAATGACATAACGAACCTATTCTGATTTCCAAAATTAGATTCCGATCCCGATATCAAAAAGTCAACTCCTCGGTCAAACTACCAAATTTAACTTTCTATTTTAGCCATTTCAAGCCATATTCAATTACGGACTTTCAAATAATTTTTCGGACACGCTCCTAAGTCCAATCACCTTACGGAGCTATTGGGATCATCAAAACTCCAATCTGAGGTCGAATACTAAAACTCAAACTTGGTCAACTCCTCCAACCCAAAGCTTTAAATATGAAAATTCATTCTTCCGAACTAATTCTGAAACACGTGAAAAGGCAAACCGACAATTCACACAAGTCATAATACATCGTATGAAGAGATTCAAGACTTCAAATAGTTGAAAGGAGCGTAAATACTCAAAACGACCGGTCGGGTTGTTACAAGTTCTTCAAACCGTTTTACATCAAATGGGGTAATTAAGTTCTTTGATTTGTAGACACCAGTGCACCAATTGATATCTTTTTTGTATAAATAGAAATGCGTGTGCACGAAACAATGAGGCAGCAACACAGAATACTTGCGCATTGTGTTATGAACTTTAGGTTGATAAGAAGCTCCACCGCGTATAGAGTCATACACATAAATACACCTATCCTTGAAGGACATCATATCCATTATCCAATGCCATTGTTCCGCAACATTAATTGGCATTAAGACGTGCTCCACAGTGTGCCATGGAACATTGGCATCCAAGACATACCCTTGAATATACTCTACAATGACATGTTTCGGATTGCACACTTCACTATCTCCACCTGTATTAATAAACACCTGCCACAACTCATTAATTTTCTCGTCGAAGTACCAATCTGAAATTAAATGTGCAAACCAAAAATAATATGATGTCTAAATACCATCCCAGAACTGGAGTCACTAGTGCACGAGCTTCTAGAATAATACAAACAAGTGTCTGGATAAAATAAAGCTGTCTGAAAGAATGCACACAACCAAAGTAAAATAGAAGATGACTTCAGAGCTGCGAAAGCTGTGCAACTATACCTCAAGTCTCCTCTAATAGTTGAATCCGAGCAAATTTACAGTACGCCGCTGGGACCATCTCCGGTATCTGCACAAGAAGTGCAGATTGTAGTATGAGTACAACCGACCCCATATACTCTGTAAGTGTCGAGCCTAACCTCGACGAAGTAGTGACGAGGCTAAGGCAGGTCGCTTACATTAACCCGTACGCAATAATAATAATAATAACAGGAATAGAAGTAAGACCAGTAAGTCATATCAATAATTGAAGTCAATTCAACAGTCATAATCCTTCAATTAATTTCCGTTGCGGCTTGCAATCCCCTCCAACAATATATACTTAGAATAAAATCCATTGCGGCGTGCAACCCGATCCAATAATATAATCTTTCAATTAAATTCCATTGCGGCATGCAACCCACTCCAACAATATAAACTTTTAATTAAATTTCGTTGCGGCGTGCAACCCGTTCCAACAATATAATTTAACAACTCTTAAATGTAAAAGTACTCTAATAAATACCACATTAATAAGAAATTATTAGGCAACAAGGCATACAATAATTATGATTTATTTAGGAAAACAAGTAATGACAAGACGCAATTAATTGTGAAAATCAGGGAGAAAATAGGCTTTAATATGCTAAATGTCAAGTAGCAATTAAGACACGTAATTCAAATAAGCATATAGCAATTATAGCATAAATTCAAGACATAATATTGGACAAGAAATATGAGAGAAATAATTAAAGTAATAATTAATTTATGATTTAAAATAATTTATGATTTTTCAGATAAATATGCAAACAATCAATTTGACGACGTATAGGCACTCGTCACCTCACCTATACGTCATTACACATGAAATTCACTTAACAAATAATTCAAGAGTTCTATTCTCTTAAGTCAAGGTTAACCACGACACTTACCTTATTTTGGAAATTTCAAGTGATCACTCGACCACATCCTTTCCTTTTGAATTATTCTCCAAACCAATCAAACCTAGCAAATTATTTACCAACAATTCAATTTGAGCTTTAAAAATTATACACAATTCGAAAGAGACTTAATTTAAGTCATTTTCGGAAAAGTCAACAAAAATCAACATGGGGCCAACTTTTCGGAACCCGACGAAATATCATAGAATCAGGAAACCCGTTCTGATATGAGTTCGATCATACAAAAATTATCGAATTCCGATGTTGGATTGCCTTTCAAATATTCATTTTACACTTTTGGAAAATTTTATAAAAATCTGATTTTTTTTCAATAGATTCATGGATTCATGATGTGAATGAGTATCGAATCATGAAAGTTAATCAATATAGGATAAGGAACACTTACCCAGTTCGAACTTGTGAAAACCTCTCTGAAAATCGCCCAAACCGAGCTCGAAATTGCGGATAATGAATAATGGGATGAAATCCCATTTCTAGAACATAATTTCTGATGTCCAGGGATTTCTTCTTCGCGAACACGACAGGACCCTCGCATTTGCGAAGCACATTTTTGTGCTGCCCCAGATTTATTTCTCGCGAACGCGAGGGCAGTCTCGCGATAGCAATGGTTTGCCAAACCTGGCCTTCGCGAACACGGTCTCCCCTTCGCGAACGCGAAGCCTTATTGCCTAGTGCCCGGCCAGGCTTTGCCTCTCTACGCGAATGCGAACACTCCCACGCGTTCGCTATGAACAGTGTCTATTACCCTTCACGAATGCGGTCCCCTCTTCGCAAACGCGAAGAGTAAATTTCGTCTGCCTTCAGTTCCTCTTCGCAAACACGAGGCCCCTCTCGCGAACGCGATGAAGGAAACCAGATACTGCACCAGAAAATTTCCAGTAGGGTTCCAAATCCAAAATTCATTCCGTTAACCATCCTAAACTCACCTGAAACCCTCGGGACCTCAACCAAATATACCAACAAGTCCTAAAACATCACACGAACTTAGTCGAAACCTCAAATCACATCAAATAATACTAAAACCACGAATCATACTCCGATTCATTTTTAACTTCTACATTCGATGATGAACCCTATCAAATCAAGTCTGATTGACTTCAAATTTTGTATACAAGTCATAAATGACACAACGGACCTATTCAAATTTTCAAAATCGAATTCTGACCTCGATATCAAAAAGTTAACTCCTCGATCAAACTTTCAAACTTAAATTTTTATTTTAGCCATTTCGAGCCTAATTTGACTATGGACTTTCAAATAACTTTTCGGACATGCTCCTAAGTCCAAAATTATCATACGGAGCTATTGGAATCATCAGAACACTGGCCTGGGTCCATTTGCTTAAAACATTGACCGAAATCAACTTAAGTGAGTTTTAAAGCACTATTTCACTTTCTTTTATCGATTTTTCATATAACAACTTCCTAAAAAAATTTACGGAAGGCTCACGCAAGTCGTGAAATGCTGAAAGGTGCTATTCAAGGTCTCAGAATAGAGAAATGAATATTAAATTTAAAGATGACCTTTTGGATCATCACATGTGGTGGTGAATGTTACAGGTAGGTCTTTGTCACGCTTCCCCTTCTTCCTCAAATAATAGAACAAAACATTAATGTGCTGAAACAAAGTATAACAAATAATTAATCACTATAATAGTATAAAATAGGTAACCAAATGATGACAAATTTGCTTCAATTAATTCCATGGTCTCTCTTTCATTAGCATTTTCAGAGGCAAACCCAAAAAAATTAAAATTCATTTATCTCCTTTGAAAATGCGTTTCAGTAATTAGGATAAGTATTACACTAATAGATGTGTTTTGTCAAGCTTAGGCCTTAGAGGTCAAAAAAAAGTTTCATATGTAGTCATTATTCTAGATGTGACAGTAGAAGTCATCACAACTTGAAGGCTCATAAGCTTTAAGCAGCTACGCTTTTTCAAACCAAATTCACAGGAAACAAAGGAAAATGAATTCTCACTACTACTCTTGTGCCAGGCAAGATAGCAATTAATAATATATTCTAACTTAAAAGGTTTGATCACGTGTACACTGGCTAAAATTTTAAAAAAACTGTAAAAGCAATTTCTTACATACCAAGTCATACAAAGGCTCACCATTATATGCCAAAGTGTGAAATCATTTTTGTCTTCAATGTGATATACACCAAGATCATAAGCAGGATTGAGTTCACTAACATGGTTCAGATAAATTTCATTCCTGGTAACAGATATATACAAATGAGATACTGTAATTTGATATAAAATAATACTACAAATGACAATATATTAAAATATAAAACTGAACAAAACTCAGAAGTTGAAAACCTACATCTTTCTGGACTTCCTATTCTTTGACCCACATAACAAATACATTCAACAAAGTGCTGTTAATGCCAATTCCGATTTTGTTTTGAAAAGGATGCTTAACAGCATAAATTTATTTTTTTTCTTTCGTTATAACAACACCACTACTAGATCCTGAATCAAATACAGTAATAAATAGAAACTGCACGGCCTTTGCAGGACATCTCTTTCTTTTTTCCATTTGCGGAGAAACTTCATGAAGTAATTCAGGCTGGTAAAGAACAATATGAGATTGAGGAACCTCTTTCTCAGATTGTTCCTTCATCTCCCCTGCCGCCTCATCAACACTTGCAGTCACATAAATAGTGCGGATATAAGATTTGGGAACCTTTCTTTCTCAGATTCTGCCTCCATCTTCCATGTCGCCTCATCTGCAGTCTCACCAATAGCTCCAACATCCGCTAAATCTGGTGTGACACTTACTTTAGCAACAAACATGATAGGGACACCACCAGAAGGGTCTTCCATGATATTGACACTTAACTGATTTGCTTCATCGAGCATAATGTTGTTACGATGATGCGCACTGGTATCTCCTTGAGAATGTGGAACATCTTTGCCTTCACTTCCACCGACCTATTTTTTTTTAAAAAAAAATCGAAAAAACAACAAAGAAAAGAAAAAGGAAAAAGGCAGAATGCACAACTAAACACATCTTACAACCATCCATGTCAACATCTTCATTGCCATCAAACTCCATATTGTTCACAAAATCATTATTGTCTTGACCACCACAGGTGCCTTCGTCTGGATGTGCACCATATTTATCTTCACTTGCACTAAGCTATTTTAAAAAAAAAAAGATACAGTAAGTTAACTAAAAACTAAAAGGAAATGCACAATGGAAAAGAAACACATACCTTGGAATTTATCAACTCAAAGACTTCCTTGAATTTATCACAAACATATTCCATGAAGGACTTTAACGGCTTATGGAGCTAAAAAAGGAAATAAATAAGAAAAATAATAGACTTTGAATATACATTTTTAACAAAACTTTTAAAATATATATATATAAAATACTAATACAAACTTGGTTAACATCAGCTTTTAACTTCTGCAACTCACGATCACAATCAATAGGTTGGACACCCGGCATCTTTTTTGGTGGGACCGGCTCCTTAATCAGTTTCGGAGGTGGTCTGACAAAATCATCGCTATCATCAATAGGAAGCTTTCCCCTGTTACGTGATGTCAAATATTTATGATACTCATCGTTAACTTCAATAGGCAAAGTAAATCTCTGTAGCTCTTAAGTTGTAGGAAATATTTTTTACCTACAAATATAACAAAGAGTGGTTTAGTCCTAGATGTATCAAAGATATATAAAAATTATATATTTGATGTATCACAATGAATTACAGTGTATCATATATGTATAACGCACAAATACATAAAAGTCAGTACCTTATTCCCTGTGATGTTGAAGAAACCAGTAGAGAAGTCCTCACGTATTGGCCTGCCTATTATTTCCCAATTCAATATGCATGGTGTATGATCTCCGACGCGAACATCAAACTTTTTATCAACTACAGTGCAATATTCATAGACCACACTTGTAGTGCAAGAGAAAATCCACCAATAATATAAAACTCAAACTTTCCCCTAAACCTGTCACTTACCGACTTCATTAAAGCTCGAAACGCAATCTTAGCCAAGGGAAAGAACACATACTCACCACTCTCGACAAGATGTAAATCACGCTTACTTATAAATGTCTTCTGAGCCTGAGTGGGTATTAGAAATATGTTTATGATATAAATGATTGCAATCTTAACTGCGTCTTCATCAGACTGTCATTTTTTCTTCTCAAAATAATCAATAAGCGACTTCTTTGACACCGCTTCAAAACCAGAAAAATAAGTATTCACCAACCTATTGGTTCCACTGAAGTTACCCTCAACATGTTCATTGCTACAACAGTTTAAACCACTTACCTATTGGTATTCACCAAATTCCCGAAGACCAAAACGTAAAATACATTCGTTATTTAATTTCACATAAAATTGATCACACTTATCTTGAACCAATTCCCTAAACATTAAAGAACGAATCAGTTGCGCCTTGATAGCAACTCGAGGTAAATCAAGAAAATAGTCAAAACAATTTTCCCTAAACATCTGAAGATGGACATCAATCAACTTTGACTGTAAAACTGATACGATGCCCATATTAGTATATGATGTCCAATGAGTAACAAGAAAAGGCTAACCAACTGGAAGATAAAGCTTCCAAGGCTACAAATAAATGACATGAATTAACAACAAATAAATACAAACTAAATTCAATTATAAAAGAAGATTCAACAATAAAAAAAAATATAACTGAAATTGTATATACCTTACAAACTTTGTCAGGAATTTTAACTTTTTCTGCCTTCTGAACCTTACTTTGTTTTGGTTTGACACCCAAATTCACTTCGTCCTCCATGACATATTTTCTCTTACCTTCAACATCATCCACTCTAACCACTTTGCTCTTCTTTTTCTCAGATTGTCCAACAACATTCTTTCGAGATTCTAACACTTTAACATTATCGGAATGATTTTGTCTTCCCATATTTCGTTCATCAATTGATTTGTCAACTAAAATCGGGGTTGAATGAGGAGATAAATTTATCAACCTAGTTTCTCTTCTCATGTTGCTCGATTTCTCAATTGAAACCGGCTTTGAATAAGGTGATGACCTCATCAAATGAGTTTGTCTTGTCATATTGCTCTGTTTCACAATTGAAACTAGGATGAATGAGAAAATTTTTAAAAAAGATTTATACCAACAAACGCTTACAGAATTTTGTGAAGAAATTGATACAAAACTTAACCAAAACTAACAAAATCATCTATAACAGATACCTACAATAAACTCTAACAAAACAATGTAGTCACAAAAGCCTAAAAAAATTAACATCGCTTCTCCAAAAACACATACAATCCGAAAAAATATACAAAATAAAAGATTTTCTACTCCAAATTACCTGGAATTTGACGAAAATAACCGCAAATGTATCTTGTTTTGTCGTCAATTTTAGCAATATATATATATATATATATATATATATATATAGAGAGAGAGAGAGAGAGAGAGAGAGAGAGAGAGAGAGAGAACGGTGTCTGTAAAATAAAAATAACGGATATAAAAAAATAAATATTAATTGAAACTATTTGGGTTTAAAATGATATTTAGACCTTTTTTTAGTAGATATTTTGTTTTAGGTTATTTTTGGTTGGGAAAGTTTATAGAGTGACAGTTTGGGTAATTTTCCCTCACATATAACCAAGTTTTGATGTGCATACTAGATAGCGACGGCCCGTTTATTTATTTGCTTTGACATAAAAATGTAGAAAGAAAAGTTTTGATGTATGTCATGTTCTGCGCAAATGCCATAACTGGTAAGCTTAACCAAAGACTTTTATCTACTATATATATAGTACATTCTCTATTACCATTCTAATACTATAGACATAATACTCAAGAAAATATAGAAAATGTTTTCTTTTGCAAATACATCACAAGCACATTTGAGTTCATCGTTAGCAAGAGGTAGTCAGCAGTCTAATAGCCAATCTTCGCCATTCCAAAAATCACCATGTGAGGAGAAGTGCTTTAGCACCTATAAAAAGCAAGTAAACACCAATTAATTAAGGATGTGTTTGGTATGAAGAAACATGTGTGCTATATGTGAAGAGGAAAAAGTGATGAACTTTTCTCATTATAAAGAGAAAATATGATATTAAAATTAAACATATCCTTGTATCCTATTTTGATCAAATTTTTTATTCTATGAGTTAACAGCTTGTGCCAACCTAGACTCTCCTTACCTAGTATTGCTCGTTATATATTCTTTTGGAATAATACAATTCCACTGGTAGTATATGTTTTTGTCATGACCCAAAATCTTACTAGTCGTGATGGCACCTGACCCAACCCGTAAGATAAGTCAATTAACAACTATCCAATTTAATGAGATTTATTAAGAAAAAAATGATAATACAACTGCTTTTATACAAGAATTTCCCAAGATTTGGTAGTATAAATCATGAGTTTCTAAAATTTAGAGTTTACAAAGCTAGTATGAAATAAATACATCATTTGTCCGAATGTACATAAACAGATTTTCGTAAGTCTAGGGCTACCATGAACAAGAGGCAGTTATAACTGGAACGCATGTATGTCTTCAATGATAGCTTCCATCAAACACAGCAACATCAACGTCCAAAATCTGTGCGCAAGGTGCAGAAGTATAATATGAGTAAAACCGACCCTGTGTACTCAATAAGTAACAAACCTAACTTTAGGTTGAAAGTAGTGACGAGTTGGGATAAAAGTCAAAGTTCAACAACAGCTCATAACAATATAATAAAAGTGGTACAGGAAATAACTCAGAGAGGTAATGTTCAACTCATTTACAGTTCCGAAAAATAGGCATACTTTTCAAGTATAACAGTGAAAACCCAAATCTTTTACCGAAAGTACCAAAATATGAGTAAGTTTGTAAAATCGCGATTTTCTTTCCAAAATTTTTCAACATGTAAACGTTTCATTATCAAATGGCATGAGGAAAAGTACATCTTTATGCCTACATGTCAATGTGTATGAGAAGTCATGAATGACGTGATACCGTACAACATGTGAAAAAATACATCTCTATGCATGTATTGTCATGTGTGCATGTCGAATGCAGTACAACATAGTGAATAATCATATGCATACTCTCAGAGTATCAATCCACTCAGTCTTCTCAGTCCACCCAATCACTCGGCACTCACGCTCGGCACTTGCACTCAATAGGTACCTGCGCTCACTATAGGTGTGCAGACTCTGGAGGGGCTCCTTCAGTCCAAGCGCTATAATGAGCCAATCATGGCATGAATCTGCATGGACAACTCACGTACTGCAGGGACAACTCATGTACCATAATATCAATATCTAGATCTGCACGGATAACTCACGTATTATGGTATCAATATTTGGATCCACACGAACAACTTACGTGTTACACGGACAACTCACGTGCCATGATATCAATATCTGGATCCTCACTTACAACTCACGTGCTATGGTATCAATAACCTCACAACCAGGCCCTCGGCCTCACTCAGTCATCAATCTCTCCAGTCTCCCGGGTTCACAATATCATGAAACTAGCCCAAAATGATGATATGATGTATCAATAAATAACAACAGAGACTGAGATATGATATGCAATGAATGTATATGACTGAGTACAAAATTATAATTTAAACATATAATTCGACAGCAAAAACGACCTCAGTGGGTCCCATTAATAGTAGCATTTGCCTAAGAATGATTTCTAACATGAATCACGGCTTAGTTTCTCTAACCCATGAAACAAATCAAGTTAATTGACTACATAGCTCTACCGAATCCACTGAGTCTCAATTTTTACGGTGCACGCCCATCACCTAGCATGTGCGTCACCTCCAAGCAAATCACATAATATGTATAATCAAGGTTCATACCCTCAGCTCCAAGTTTAGAAGTGTTACTTACCTCGAACAAGCCAAATTCAATACTGAGCAAGCCAAACGATGCTCCAAAATACCATCCCGCGTGTACCGACCTCTGAACGGCTCGAAACTAGCCAAAAGCAACTCAAATACATCAAATAAAGTTTAAGAAAATAAGTCCAATTGATAAAGGTCGTATATTTACTCAAAATCCCAAAATCAACCAAAAACCAAACCCGGGCCCGTACCTTGGAACCCAATGAAATTTATAAAATCCGACAACTCATTCAATTACGAGTCCAACCATACTAGTTTCGCTCAAATCCGACTCCGAATCAATATTCAAAATTCAAAAACTCACTCTATAAAACTTTAGGCTATAACCCTCAATTTCTTTTTAAACTTCATCAACCAATTTTTAAAAATGAAGATGGATTCATAAAATAAAATCAAAGCCAAGCATAAAACACTTACCCCAATCCTTGTGATGAAATTTGCTTCAAAAATCGTCTCAATCCGAGCCCCCAATCTCAAAATATGATGAAAGGACCAAAACCTCGAAATATATAGAATCTGCCCGGGCATCGTCACATCTGCGACACACTTAGCTGCTCTCTTTTGCGACAAACGTTCCGCTTCTGCAGAGAGGCACTAGAGAAATGGCCCTCGCACCTGCGGAAAAACGTCCGCTCCTGCGCTCAAAATCTCGCATCTGCGCACACGCAGGTGCGCTACAAAAATTCGCTTCTGTGGTCTTCCTTCTGTTAATTGAGTCACATCTCAATTTCTCAAACACATGAAAAATACATAAAAAAAAATATAAGTTAATTGACTACACAGCTCTACCGAATCGGCTAAGTCTCAATTTCTACGGTGCACATCTGTCACCTAGCATGTGCGTCACCTCCAAGCAAATCACATAACACGTATAATCAGGGTTCATACCCTCAGCTCCAAGTTTAGAAGTGTTACTTACCCCGAACAAGCCAAATCCAATACCGAGCAAGCCAAACGATCCTCCAAAATACCATCATGCGCGTACCAACCTCTGAACGGCTCGAAACTAGCCAAAAGCAACTCAAATACATCAAATAAAGTATAAGGAAATAAGTCCAATTGATAAAGTCGAATATTTACTCAAAAGCCCAAAATCAACCAAAAACAAACTCGGGCCCGTACCTCGGAACCCAATGAAACTTATAAAATCCGACAACCTATTCAATTATGAGTCCAACCAAACTAGTTTCGCTCAAATCTGACTCTGAATCAATATTCAAAATTTAAAAACTCACTCTATAAAACTTTAGGATAAAACCCCAAATTTATTTTTAAAATTTATCAACCAATTGCCAAAAATGAAGATGGATTCATAAAATAAAATCAAAGCCAAGTATAAAATACTTACCCCAATCCTTGTGATAAAATTTGCTTCATAAATCGTCTCAATCCGAGCCCCCAATCTCAAAATATGATGAAAGGAAAAAAACCTTGAAATATATAGAATTTGCTCAGGCATCGTCGCATCTGTGACACACTTAGCCGCTTCTGCGGCGTCGTTTTTGCGATAAACGTTCCACTTCTATAGAGAGGCACTGGAGCAATGGCCCTTGCACCTACGGAACAATATCTGCTCCTGCGACATCGCAGGTGCGACACAAGGACCCGCATCTGCGCCAACTCCCGTTCCTGCACTCAAAATCTTGCATCTGCGCGCACGCAGGTGCGCTACAAAAATCCGCTTATGCGGTTTTCCTTCTGTTAATTGAGTCACAGCTCAGTTTGTCTAACACATAAAAAAATATATGAAATAATACAAGTTAATTGACTACACAACTCTAACAAATCGACTGAGTCTCAATTTCTACCGTGCACGCCCGTCACCTAACATGTGCGTCACCTCCAAGAAAATCACATAACACGTATAATCAGAGTTCATACCCTCAACTCCATGTTTAGAAGTATTACTTACCTCGAACAAGCCAAATCCAATACCAAGCAAGCCAAACGATGCTCCAAAATATCATCCCGTGCGTACCGACCTCTGAATGGCTTGAAACTAGCCAAAAGCAACTCAAATACATCAAATAAAGTCTAAGGAAATAAGTCAAATTAATAAAGGTTGAATATTTACTCAAAAGCACAAAATCAACCAAAAACCAAACCCGGACCTGCACCTCGGAACCCGATGAAACTTATAAAATCCGACAACCCATTCAATTACGAGTCCAACCATACTAGTTTCGCTCAAATTCGACTCAGAGTCGATATTCAAAATTTAAAGGCTCACTCTATGAAACTTTAGGCTAAAACCCCCAATTTCTCTTTAAAATTCATCAACCAATTGCCAAAAATGAAGATGGATTCATAAAATAAAATCAAATTCAAGTATAAAACACTTACTCCAATCCTTGTGATGAAATTTGATTCAAAAATCGTCTCAATCCGAGTCTCCAATCTCAAAATATGATAAATGGATCAAAACCTCAAAATATATAGAATCTGACGAGGCATCGTCGCATCTGCGACACATTTAGCCGCTTCTGCA